GCTGATTAAAGTGCTTGTGTCGGGATGCTAGAGACTGGGTGTTCCCAAAACAACAATGCAGTTTGCCTACAACATTATTTATTTCTTTTTGTCTGTGGAAGGGCTGTTCTTTGTCTGTTGGGAATAAGGCTGAAAGAGCGTTGCAGCACAGCTAGTACAGCTGACCAAGCTTTTCCCTGGTTCTCAAAGGAAAGTGAAAGGGGTAAAAAATAGACCAATTTGGATTGTGTCACAAAAATGGCCTCTCACATAACCTTTCGCCAGCAAGGCTTGGCTCAAATAGACAAGGCGGCAGCCAGCATTCTGGGAGTTTCTTGGTAGAGCCTGTGTTGGGGCAATTCTTTAAAATATTTCTTACAATATGTCAGATAAACAGTGAATCATTCCTTGATTCGTCTGAGACTTTGTTTTCAGTTATGAAAAAAAAACCACTATAAATTGTGCATGCCCAGTAGGTCAGGTCAGAAGATAGATATCTTTGTATTTCTTTCTGAAAAATGCTTTGATCCGTTTTTCTTTTTCCTCTTTGAAGGTGTTCTGACAGCACCTCTTTCTTTGGTTCTAAAAGGTTGCCCTCACAGTGATTTGAATGAACCAGTATCTCTATAAGATAACAAACGTTGGAGAACTTAGTGGAAGCATTGCTTACATTATCACATTATTCCCTTAGTGTACATCTTTTGGGAAACTGGTAAGCCAGCATTATTCCCTGACTCTGCTGTAGTTCACATATGGGAAGACGCTTTTCCACATGCTGCTTTACAGTATGGGACATAATTGTATATGTGGCAAAACATTTTTGGACTTTTAACTTCAAAATATTTTTTTTTGAAACTTTTTTAATGATGTGGCTAGCAATGAAGAGGAGGAACAGGATGGAGGAGGATGAGGAAGTCATAAACGGTCTTTCTGTAGCATTTAGGATTTCAGTGGTGTTCAATAACTCCCTACTATTGACATGCTTATTTGTGCTAGGCAGCAGTAATTAAAATTTCAATTTATTTTTACGGCAGCCCAATCCAGTACTCTGGCACTCAATGCAGGCCATATTCAGCAAAAATAAATATAAGTAGCGTAAAAGTAAATCACATTCGTACTTACATGACCATGATGAAATGGGAAATTCTCTGTTTGTCTTAAGGTACCAACCTCCAGCTTGCTTGCTCTCCTATGAGGCATGAAAGTCCCATATACAGGTACGGACCTGAGGATGGGATTGCTTCTCAACAGCCTTTGTGCCAGCTCGCTCCCAGCCCACATGTGACGGTGAGCCAACAGGCAGAAGTGAAGCTCTGCCCATCCTCACACCCAAGGGGCGAGCACACAGGCTGCAGCAAGGTAGGAGGTAGGCAGTGTAATTGCACTAATGCAGTGCTGTCGCAGAGCTAATTTGCTATGCCTGGCATCATGCACCATGCGCATGTTGCAACCGTGTGGCACTGCACTCCAGGAGCCTCCTGGCTCAGGCTTGGAGACAACATAGGTGGCTAGGCCAGGCTGATGGTTAACGGCAGGCCCATAGGCAGCACTGAATTGCCCCATGTTTGATGCAGGGTATGTATGAATCAGCTACTTTGTGTTTTTCTGTGTAAAATAACACTGGGCATCTGACCATCACCACTGCGTCCACCAACGCAGGCTGGGTCAGTTCTGGTTAAAACACCCAAAGGGCCGGCAGTGACTCCAGATGTGACCTGCACAACGCAAGTGCTTTGCCCGGCTCCCCCATTGCGGTGCAGGCTGCTGGGGTGGGAGTGGGGCATTTCTTCCTCCTTCCTCCCCTGCCCTCCCCTCCGCCTGTAACCAGGGTATTTTGTCAGCCTCCATTTAATACAAATACTTCTCCCTTGGCTGTTTCCCAAACTCGAACGAGTGCACTAATTTCCTCAACCAAGGGCTTGTCTAAACAACAGTGTTTTGCCTCCTTTAACGAGTGTTGTTCAAGTGCTAAATCCCCCTAATCCTCATGGAGTAACATTAGTACAAACACTGCCATTCGGGACGCAATATCTGCTTTAAAGCGCCTCTCAAGGACTGTGTACCAGCATCCAGGGTAGCATGGAATTAAAGAGCAGTAGGTTAAGCTTGCAGTGGTTGTGGGACATGTAACCCGTTTTAAAAAGCAAACCAGTCTGTGATGGTTTTATAGAAACTTAAATACTTGGGGGGGAAGAAGTTGATGGTAGGACAGTTGACGTCCAAACATACGTCAAGCTATTTATTATTTCCTGATAGATTTCTTGTCCTAGTGGGCTGAAAGTGGTCAGGATGTTTGGTGACGTCTTGCTGGTATAGAGTGACTTGGTCCTTTTCCTGACCCGTATCCTTTCCTGAGGCCTGCAGTGTTGTAGAGGTTGCTCCTGTGCAGGACAGTTATTATAAACTATATTTTCCTGCTAAGATATTAAAGGCCTTGTCTACACCAGAGCACCTCTACTGGAGTAATTACGTTGGTAGAGCCTCCAAGCGCTATAGCAACCGTTCCCTCAGCCTACTTCACACAGCCTCTGCGTCTGAGGAAACTGTGGCGAAGCAAGGCGTCCGTAACTATGTCCGCAGCAGGGGTTCTGCAAACACAGGCGTCTCGGTCGTGCGGTGTTGTATTCCCTCACACCTCTTGCTGAGCCTGTGCTCTTAGGAGTAGCTTGGGGAGCTCCCCCCGCCCCAGCCCCAGGGTGCATATTACCCTCTGCTGTGCTGGCAAAATTGTGGGTCTGCACAAGATTTCTGGTGCTTTATTCCCTCCCTCTCTTATTCATTATTTGCTTCGGATCACCGCCCTCCTTACAACTGTCCACAGAGTCATCTCCTTGGAAACGGCAGAACTTGTTTATGTGACAGTAATAAGGAAACTAATTGATGCGTAGCAGCTGCAGGCATGCAAGGGAGCCATGTTCCACCAGAGGATGTTGGAAAAGCGAGTCTCCGCTTATGCTCACTGACGAAAGGTTAGATGGCGTGAGTAAAAGCCACCTTCTTCCTCTTGGGTTTCCAAAGTTGCCTTACCCTGTTCACAGCAGCGGTAGGAAGCTTGTTGCTTGCGCATATGTGTATTTTTATAGACTTTGTTAGTCTTTTTTATCACCAACCTGTAGAGGTTGAGAAGTGATGGGAAAATTGGTAAGTCTTGCTTATTTCTTGTTTTGTGGAATACTGTGCTGGTGCACTGTGCCATGCCAGGCCCATCTCCTCTCCTGTCTTGGCCCTGACCCTGCCTATGGCCACAGGACACACATATATTGAGACTTCTGCTGCTCCCTGCTGCGTGCCCTTCGCTGCCGCTGCCACTGCCCCTTGTGCTGTTGGAAATGGCCGATACGCCTGTCTGGCCTAGCCGGCTGTTAAGGTCGGTGGGGTGTCCCTGCGCGGTGTTTCCTGGTCCTCCAGGACGGAGCTGTGGAGGCCGATAAATGGCTTGTGTGGCCATAAACGTGGCAGGGTCACCAGGTGGGACCTCTCGCCAGAGATGGCGGCATGCCTGGCTGCCTGCAGCTGCCGACCCAGCGCCGAGAGCTTGTGGCCTGGGCTCGGGCAGGATGGCAGCAGGGCCCCACAGGGAACTCTCCGGAAAAGGCCTGTGGTGCAAGGGTAGCCTGGGCAGCCCCCCTCTTGCGGGTCTGGGGGGCCATGCCGGTGCTGGGGGGGCCGCCCTGAACTGTGGGATCTGCCCCGGGGGTGTTAGCACACAAAAGCAGCGGTGTCTGGGAGGCCCCAAGCCAAGCAAGCCCTGGCAAGGAGATGCTTATGTCGATGTCTCCGTGATGACAACTTGGAGGAGGAAGGAAGTATTTCCCTGTACCTTTGGCTTAGTGTGTATCTTGAAGAGGCGGTGTGGATGGATGATGATTTTTCTATTTTATACGGCCTTTGAAACAGTGCTGGAAGAGCTGTTCCTGGAAACTTTTTCCATTATTGAAAACTTTCTTCCCCGCCCACCTGGTATGAATGGCTTTTCCTGGGATGTGCTTCATCAGCAGGTTCCAGTCTTGGTTTGGGTTTCTTCCTCCTGTTACTAGATAACCTCTTTTTGGTGACTTGGGAACTAGCATCTGTAAATAGCCTTGCCCAAGTGGGAAGCCTGTTCCAGTTGCACACCCTGTATGTTAAACTCGAGTGATACCATAGTTGTTATATCATTGAACCTTCAAATAAGGTGGTTTTCTATCAGCTGAAGCTATATAGACTCTTCATTTCTTTCACTGTATCAAGTGAAATGCTTGGTACTACTTTGCTAGGTAGCTGCGGTGTGATTTAAAACTTGCTTTAACTTCCTAGAGGTTGTATTAGACTAAAGTACTTTCTGCAAGTTTCACTGTCCATGTCTTGAATATCAAGGAAAATCACTATTTGGCAGGGTGTCAGCTCTCTTCAAATGTGCTTCTGATAAAATAAAGAATGTGAAAGGGTGGGACAGAAAGGGAGTGGAGAAACAGGACTTAATACATACGCTTAATAATGGGGAGAATGCTGGGGATGTTGCATGTTAAATATCCTTCTGTAATCTCAGCGCTAAATGTGGAGAACTATGACTCCATTATCTAATAAAGCCATATGTGAAAAGATAGGCATTAGAGCACTAAGAAGGCTGCAAATGAAATTGGGCTGTAAAACTTGGAATGCTTGCTCTGCAGGGAGCGCTGAGAGGCAGACATGGAAGCCTGTAAAATAGGTAATAGAAAATGTCATTAATCCTTGACTTTTAAAAGGACAAAAATCAGCATAAGTTATTAGAAAGCACCAAGAGAAACCTTAGAAAATTTTGGGTGGTCAAGGAGAGCTATGTTTAGTGTTATGAAAGGCATTGTTTTGGAATTGCATTAAAATACAGGATTCATCTGGGAGTGTGGGGGTTTTTTTTAATTATTATTTTGGTGCATATGATCTGGTTTGATACAAACAGAGCCAGGGACAGCCCTGGCTGTGACATAGTGACAAACTTTGAAAAGTTACATAGTCCGTTGAAGAGCTGATGGCATTAAATAGCTCTCTTTTTACAGGCTATGGATTCTGAATCGAAGAACAGTTTCATAGGAAGCTTTCTTCCGCCACCAGATAAGATGCTTCCTGCAGCCTTTGCTTATATAGAATCGAAGTTGGCAGCTGTTGATGTTGACAGGCCTTCTATCCCCAATAACCAAGGTAAAGCCAAAATATGTCCTTAAAGTGGTCTTTTTAATTGTTCCATCTGAAATCTCTTGAGCAAACTCGCCGTTCTGTTTTACTCAGTTCAATGACTTGCTGCGATTGTCAGACTGACATTGAGACAGGATGTATATGTGTCCTGAGGGAGTAGTCTCCCTGAAGTCATACGTCTGGAATGGAAACTGCTGCAAGTCTTCTAACATCCTTATAAACTTTGGCTTTGAAAATTGTTTAACTTAAAATCGTCAGACTTCCTCTAAAAGCAAAGAAGAATGCTTCAAACTCAGCATAAGCAGTTCATGACTTTAAATACAGCAAAAAAAGATCATTAGTATGGTACACTGATTTGAAATTGGCTTTGCATAGTGCTATTCGACTCCCTCTAGCTTAAAATCGCTTCTAAGGTTTTTTGTGTGGTATGATTCCTTGGGAGAACTTTTGAATAACTCAGACTCTTGGGAAAGTTAGCAGCATGAAAGTTAGTCTGTATGAAATATAGGTCCACTGTGATTGTACTGTGCCTTAACTGATGATTACTCCCTGGAGCTCACAGGACAAATGCTCGGTGGCTTAGCATATCTGGAGAGCTAAGTGAATCACAAGGATACCATACTTGGATTTGCTATCATGGACAACTTCGCAATGTTGCACAGGCATAGCCTGTGTGTGTGTGTGTGATCATTGTTCTTTCATTTAAAGAATCCGTGACTTCTGTAGTAATCTTTTGTCATACAGAGTTTGGGCTTTTGGGATTAAAATATTCAAATTAATGTTATGCAGCTAAGTGTTTAAGTAAGGAAATGTTTGGCATGCCAATAGAAAGATGGAAGAAGTGGTCCCAGTTCATCTTTCTGCTCTCTGGTATATGCTTTTTGCCTTTTTTTTTTTTTTTTAAAGTTTTATTCTAATGGGGCTATGATAAGCTGATCAGAGTTGTTATAGAGCTAGCAATATTTGCTGGGTATTCCTCTACTGAGAGAATTGGTATAGGGAAGCTATCAAGGCTTATAAAATGTCAGAAAAGAAGCTTGACTTGTTACAGAACATGTCTTAAACTTCCACAGGTGTGTATAGTTTTTGGAGAGCTAGTAGACTTTTCCTTGTAGTTGAAATTGCAACTTTTATTTTTGGCATAATTTTGACACATGCTGATTTGAGGCTAAAAGCAAAATCTTGCAGACTTGTTTCTATGGTTTAAAGACTCATCAAATACAAGAAACTAGGCATTGAGTCATTACCTTTTGAAACAATAAAGTTTTTGAAGTGCATCCTCTACTAAAATGCCCCTTTGTATCTGATTTCCCCTCTGTCTTGAGTCTGGTTTTTTTTTTCTTTTAATCTGTCCACACTGGTTGCGTTACACCAAAACTTGTGACCTAACTTGGATACCTGTGTCCCCTGCTTCTGTGTAAACAGAAGTCCCAGGGTTTGTTATTTGCCTCGATTTCTTTGTGTTTGCTACCATTTGGAGTGAAAATAGTTTTGCTCGTAAGACCTGTGCTTTTTACCTCAGTTATGCAGTAAACATGTCCATTTTCTCCCAGATATGGTCTGCGTGTGTTAGTGTACTGCTGGGGAATATAATTCATTGTAGGAGTGATCCTAGGAAGAAAATCTAGGTAGTATTTTGCTGTTTGAAGTGTTTTGTAAAAGTAATAATAATAGGAACTGTTACTTAAGGTGTAACTGTTGCATTGTCTGCTAGCTGTGGTGGCAGCCCTGAAAACTCTTCAAGAAAAGATTCGCCGTCTAGAGTTGGAGAAGGCACAGGCTGAAGATAATCTGTGCAGCCTCTCCATAGCAGCTGCTCAGTATAAGAAAGCCTTAGAGCATGAATCCTACAAAAAGGACACAGCACATCAAGAACTGATGCAACAGAAGAAAGGTATTTCTCTTGAATGATAAGGTGTAGCCGCAGCAACTCCAAGACTGCATAATCCAGGGAGTGTTTGGTTTTTTTGACAAACTGCTAATTAATGCACCCCCCTTTCTTTTTTGCTTCAGAATAGGGGAGGGGCAGGAGCTTGATAATTGTGGATCAAGTTGAGATCTTTTTTTACATGTATTAACCAAGTATTGCATAAACCATAAAGCTATTTTAAAGAATAAGCAGATTTCAGGTGGTGTGTTTAACTCCTACAATAAGCAAGCAGCTGCTTACATGTATAACACTTTTGAAAAAAGTGAGGAGAAGGGAAGAAACCAGATTCTGGTTAGATATCTGCTGATATAAATCAAAGTAACTGCAGTGCTCACACCTTTGGAATTCAAATTAAGGACTAGCTCTGGAAAAACATTTTGATTCTCATGTCATATATATAAAATATATTTTAACCACATGACTTGTTCAGACTAACAAAACTTCTCTTGCATGTTTCGAAGACAGAGAGTTCCTCAATGAGATGACAGACTGGCTAAGTGTGTAACTCCCATTGCTGTACTGAATGTCTTTGTTTCTCTCTGTAGATGTAAGTGTGCAGTTAAATGCAGCACAATCCCGCTGCTCCCTGCTGGAGAAACAGCTGGATTACATGAGGAAAATGGTTTCCAGTGCAGAACTGGAAAAGAAAATGGTTTTAGAACAACAGGTGAAGCCCTTTAGCATACTAACAAAGTAGTGATATAGCTAAAAAGTATAGAAATGTGTAAGATCTGAACTTTTTTATGGCCATCATTTTTCCTCACCCTGCTCAGGGTGGTAGCAAATGGAAGGAATTTACTGTCTGACTGGCTGATGACAGCCGTTCAATGAATTGTATGAAAAGACTCCCTAGGTGGAACTCCTAATGAGCAAAACCATGCTAATACTTGCACATGTGGTAGACAAAAACGCTGCTGGAAACTTAAGTCTTCTTTGTCTGCCTGGTATTTTTCATCACTTTGCAATTTAAAAAATATGAAATTTAAACTAAACACCTTTACTGTAGTGTGTTTGGTTTTTTGCTGTCTGAAACAATTTCAGTCAGCTGCAACTCCATTCTTGCTTACTTTTTTCCAGGCCCAGCTTCAGAAAGAGGAAGATCAGAACCGGTTGGCACTGCATGCAAAACTTGAAAAGCTTGAAATGCTAGAAAAAGTGTGTCTTAAACTAACTGCTACTCAGAGAATTGCAGAAGTAAGCATGCATGGAATGACAGTCTGAAAGTCATTCATTTGATATAATTTGTATGGCATACTGTTAATAGTAGCAAGTTTTGCAAAAGTTACCTCTGTTAAAGCTAAGATCATAAAGCATACCTGACTGAATATCACCTTGGCTTCATTTGCATGAGTCTTTTTTTCAGTCTGGGCTTTAAAAATTCCTACAGTCCTGTTTTATCCCAGATTACAATTGAAAGCTGCTTCAGACCTCTGATTCAGCATGGCAAATTGAAGTGTGACTAATCATTCTTGCCTTCAAATTCAGGACAAGATCAAACACTTAGAAGAAAAGCTTTGTAAGGAAGAGCATCAGCGAAAGCTAATACAAGACAAAACTGCTCAGGTAGACTGAAAAGATTTTATTTAGCTTATTTTTTATGACTGAAGAAAGCTGTTCTCTCTGTCCAAAATACCCTTTCTTTTATTACATTTAAACTCCACATGTTTATTACCCAGGGAGAACTCCTGGAATACTACCTAGACCAGTTATAAACTACGTAGTAGAAAGTTTGCCAGGTGTGTTGCGTATCTCAATCAAGGAAGATTCTACTCGTTTTTTTATTAATGATACAGTTCATCAGCCTCAAAGTTGCCATAAGTGATCTGGGTAGAAAATTAATTTCTAGAGAATCTGCAACTAAATCAGATAACCTTAACTTACAGTAACTAGAATGTGGTCGTGTAAGAAACGTTATACCCCAAGTAGGGTTGGTTATTCTGTTTGTTTTTCTCTTTTTGTTAAGATCTGCTGAAATCTAATACATTGGACTATACATGGAAAAGTCTTTAATCAGTGATACCGTTACATTGCTCATTAAGTGAGAGCTTGAATAATTCATTATTCTGTGAAGCCATAATCAGTTTATTGGGCCACCATCCATCTGAGGAATGAGAGAGGAATATTTGCCGAAGAGAGCAAAATCAAAGATACCTTTTGTTAAAGGGGCAAAGTAGCTTCAGGTATTCCAAATCTCACTTTGCTGAGAAGTAGCAGCCATTTCGAAAGAGAGCAGTTGTGGTGGCATTCCCTTGGGGTGAGGTGGGGGGATGCAGAGCTGAAGAATAATATTGAAAGAACCTAGCCATAAGTGAAGCTGACAGCTTTAATTAATTCATCACTGCTGTCAGTTTTTATACCTCATCCAAGGAATTTCATCAGTCCAGGAAGCTTGAAATAACATGCAGATTGTAGCCCAGGTATCTGACCACCTCCAGAATCCGGCAGAATGACACAGTTGAAAACTTGCAGGTTTTGGGGTTTCTTGCTTAAGCTGCTTGCTGCTGCAGAGCAGAAGGCCTAGTATGGAGATTCTATCTTCTGAGAAACATAGTAAGAATGACTTTCCCAGAGCAGATAGTCTGACTTTAGCAGTAGTATAAACATGTGCTCAAGAAAGGACTTAGATGTAGTAAACTGAGTCCTAAACTAGTATTAGTACCATCTTAGTTCACTGCAGGATCGATTGAGGTCTGTTAGATCTGGGCTGGAAAACACAGGGTGTGGGGTCGTTCACTTCCTTTTGATGACAGAAAAGCCAGAATAATCTCACTTTTGTGATGGACCTCCAGCATTGTTTAGCCAGAACTGCTACACATGCCAAAACAAAGTCCTTGTCCTATGTTTAACTGGGAATGGCTATTATCCTGTTTATCATGGGCCTTTATATCAACTTTGAACTACAGAGCAATCTGAGGATTGTCCAGCAGGTTTGACCTCAATGTTACACAGACAGGCTCAGTTCTCTCTGGCCCCAGATTGTAAAATCCAAATGTTCATATTCTTTGGATTTTATGATTAGATCCCTAGCATGCAGCAGGATTGGCTTATCTCACTTGCTGGTTGCCACAGTGGAAAAATACAGCTGCTGCAGCTGAATATGAAAATGAGGACTTCTAAGACAGAGCTGCAAGATCTGCCTGATACCCTGCCATCCTAGTAATCTGTTCAGTTTTTAAGTGTAGTTTATGCCTTCCAAGCAGGACAGTTAATAGTGCCCTTAATTGGTTCTTATCCATGCATGAAAGAAGGAATTAATTAGACCATGTGATTTCATGCTTCTAATATTACATTAAATGGTTGTTTTATTTTTTTGCTTATTCCTACAGCTTCAAACAGGATTTGAGATAAACAGAATTTTGATGTCTTCAGTAACATCTCAAAATGAACCTAAAAAGGAAAACAGGAAGAAAAAAAAAACTAAGAAGGTAACATGAAAGTTTTTGTTAGCATACTGTTGCTGATAGATTCTGACTCGCACAGAGATAGGAATTTGTGAAAAACGGTGATGTAAGAGGCACTTGATTTGTCTGCTGCACTTTGTTCCATTTCCAAAGTGAAGAACAGTGCTGAATACCGCTTTTTTTTTTCCTTTGGTAATTAAAACTAGGTTAGGACTGGTAGCACCTCACTGGAAAGCTTTCCCTTACCAGCATGAAAATAACCTCTCTTACAGTCTTACTGCCATCCCTCATGTCCTGTCTTAGCTGCCTTTCAGTTTATCTGGCAAAATTAGTTTCCAAAGCAATTTTAACTAGGCATCTTAAAATGGTGTGTTTTGGGGAGATTGCTGAAATCAAGAGAATTCATTTTGCAACACAGGTCAGTCAAAATTTTGCAACTGTGGTTTTGCAAACTTAAGTAAGCAATGTTAAATTTCTTTAATGGCAACCTATTTGTCAAACTATCTGCTAAATGCATCTGGAATGAAATTTACTTGCCTCAGCTGTTGGAAAGTCCTACTTCTTCCACATACAGGAGGGAAATTATTCTTTTTAAACGAGAGGGAAACTGAAATGATGCATTTCACTGCTTGTTTATTTGAATCTTACTTATTAAAAAAAAAAGTTTAAGATTGTGCTGTTGGGTCAGCAGATTGAAATTTCTTGTCTTACTTTTCCTGTCTGTCTTACGGCAGTGGAATTCTACAATGAAGAAAATGCAATTACATGTAAAGGCTGGTGAACTACCTTTTGTGGCTGGGAAGGTAAGTGAAACCAAATGTTCTCGTTAAATTGTCATCTACAGTTTGAATAAGTCTCTTTACTGTAATTGTTAATCAATGCTGTAAACCACTTATTAATTCTGCTTTAAGTCTGTCAGTTCCAGCCATTCTGTTAGTGCAAATGTACAAAGTGTGTTGCATATTATGAAGCATCGCAATCCACGTATCTCGTCACGAAGCCAAGGAGGAGCTACATCTGGGATTTCAGGACGCAGTGCACTTTCAAAATCTGTATCCTCTTGTTCCACATCACCTACTGCCACCAGAAGTCTTTCGGACCTTCTGTTGGCCCTACAAGATGAGCTGGGCCAAATGAGCTTGTGAGTACTCATCCCTGGTGTTATGAGTGAAAGTGACTTCAGTGGTGGCCCTATGAAGCTACAGGTGTGCTGTAGTCGAACCTAGCTTGTTTAAGTGTAGGACTACTTGTTGACAGAATGGCCTGAGCAGGCCTGACTGGTAGGACTTTTCTCATTCAAAAAATTCTTTCTATCCTGGTGTTTAACTGATCTTGCGAGCAAGCAACATGCTCTTCAGCTGGGTTTTTCTGCTTCCACATCCTGTACTTAACTGAGCTGCTACTGAAGTAACAGCTGCAGCAAATGAAAGATCTTTCAGGCCTGTGCTTTTTAGGAAGTTTAAACATATTCCGAGATCTACAGAATAGACCAAGAATGTTCTCCTGGAGAAGGCTGCAAACGTAGTGTTAATGTTCAGTAGGCCGGCAGCATGCAGTCAATCTGAGTGGTAGAATAAGTTTGTACAGCTGTGGCAGGAATAGTCCTGTCACAACATCACAACATGCCTATTACTTTGTCCTCACTCTTTCTGTGTTCTTTCCGTACGTGCGTACCTGATGGGTCTTTGTGCTGAGACAGTCTGGGGTTCATTCCCATTCCTTTTTGATAGCAGGAGAACTTGCCAACCCTGGCAGGGGGTTGTGAAAGAGGGACAGTCTGCTGCCAGAAAATGGGCAGGGTGTGGAAGAAGCTAACGCATTCGATGGGAGTGTATGTATCTTTCTAGCCATGCAAGTAAATGTGGATTACAACTTGTGGTGTTCTTAGGCACCTTCCCATTAATGCAAGCTTGTAGAATTGTGGGCCAAAACTATGTAGCTGGTCATAGTAGACATGTCAACATGATAAGCTGTGGTTTGAACAGAGGAGGATGTGTTGGTTAAACCAGTTAGGGTGTTGGTTAAACCAGTTAGGATGTTGACACTGGTTTGAAATCCTTGATGTGGCAAAATTTAACCTGGCAACCAATCTCTTCTTCAAAAAGCTTTGGCTTACTCATGGCAATTCAAGGACGGGTTTTTTGGGTTTTTTTTTATAGCAACAACCAGTTGCTTCAATTAAACTGTCAAGGAGCAGCAGTTACTGAGAAGTCAGAAAAGAAACCATGACCTTTGTAAAGAGATTATTTGTCTAAGAGAGGGTCTCTGGTTTTGACTAGTTCAGATATCTAGGTATCAAGTAGATCTACACAATTTCTTTTAATTAAGCTGGTTAATTTAATTAACCAGCACACCTCACTGCAAATCTTTTTGAGTAGAATATTTTAATTTGAATTATCTGCCAGAAAAACTGTAACTTAATTGTACTAGTTTAAACTAGTGTATTACACTAAGCTTTCAAAGTCTGCACTGAATTGGGCAGGAAGTGAAAATACCGTACTGCATAGCTGCTGTTCACTTTCCAAATTCTCATTTTGCACACTATTACACATATAATTGTTATGACTGTGGCAAGGGGGAGGAATAAGATGCACATCAGCTACAAATTTGGAATGAGAAAATCAGACCCACTGGAAAACTTTTTCTTTTCTACTGTGAATGTATTCCAGATTACTGTGTATTGTGTGAGGGGGTAGATAATGTTAAATTGCTGTACTCTGGACAAAACGGCTAGCAACTCCTGCAATACACTGAAAGTACTGGAAGAAATCCTGGAAACTATATCATGAATACTTAGTGTGCCATTGTTGTCTTTAATAGTGAGCATCAAGAACTTCTGAAGCAGATACAGGAGACTCAAGACTCCAAAGTTCGTGAAGACCTAGAACAGGAGCTGGATTGCCTTATAAAACAAATGGAGATTAAAGGAGAACAAATATCCAAGCTGAAGAAGCATCAGGCTACTGTAAGAATAAAATGTAAACTCTCTAGCTAGTAACACTCTAGTTGAAAGGCTGCCACAACTCTGCCTCCTATTGTCATTAACTAGAATGTCACTGGAATGCTTAAGCCAGGACGTTACAATATGAGTGATTATAATTAGGCTGCTAGCTCGGTGTTCTTGTACCTCCAATTCCTTCTTTTGATCAAGAAAAAGCGCTTACAGCTGGCAGCTAGGTATGTAAGCTAGTGTGAAAACTTCCTGCCCTGTGGCAGTTCTGCAATACAGAGCTGGGTTGCTCAGTCTGTCACTTCTGCTCACTGTGTTCAGACAAACTGTTGAGATTTCATTCCTTGTGTCCTGTCCCTCTGGGGAATGAGAAAGAAGTTATAATTCCTGTATAGACTGGATTAAATGTTTTTTATATTACTGAAATACTGAAGCTTTTTATTAACCAAATAGTCTGTTGACCACAGCTTCTCCAAAGTCATAGCCAGACAAGCGTTTCAGTTTTGTTTAACCCCTAACCTGTACACATTCTGTCAGTATTTGTTTTAGAGCCATAGATAACAGCGTTTCATACATGCCCATATAAAATCACTCTTCTGTAGATGAATAGCTTAACCCTTTTGTAGCAATTTGGTTTGGAACGTATGATAAAAAATGCAATCCATACTTCTGTCTGGTAGTTTTCTATTCTTCATCTTATGTTTCTAGTCTTCATCTCAGACTCACCTAAGAACTTCGATTATACAGGAAACAAAACAAAAGTCAGTGTGAGACCTTACGAAAGGGGGAGGTGATAGTTAATTTAAATCTGACCAATTTTATTCATGTTCATTCTTTGATAGATTTTACTCTCTCATACCTGTTATTGTCCATGTAATTGCAAGCACAAAGGTGCTCATGTCAAAGTAGAATTCTCAGAGTTGCATGTTAGCAATATGGAAAAAGGACATGGACTGTTGAGTCCTCACTGCCTCTCTTGGCAATGTCAACTGTTTTTTGGATAAATCTCTTAAGTTCTTGAGGAGCCAACAATTATGGTGTTATTCCTTGCCTCAGAATCTTGCTGACTTCATCCTCCAGGAACCTTGGACAATGGACAACAACTGCACCTTTGTTTCTTCCTTTTGCATATCTTTATGGCTACAGTCTGCCTTCATTTTGGGATGATGAGAAGAGGAATAGCAATGTGGTGCAACCTTGTTGTCATCCTTGCCTTTTATCAGGGTGCAGATCTGCTGGCAAGTCATCTGTGCTCTGGTACAGCCTTATCAGAGCACACACCTTAGGGTCATGATGTAAATAGCACATTCTTTGTGTTTGCATGTTTGATTACTGTCCATCATGCCCTGTTGTCAATACATGCCACTTCTGTAACCCTTGGCCTAGATTGTTTTTTCTGGTGCTTTTGCACACAGACATTTCTATTTTTATTTTGTACAGACCAATCTTAATATTTCTGGTGCATATTTCTGCTTTTAGAACCTGTCACGCTAAAAATGCTGTAGTCATCTCTGTGTTTCACAGTTAATAATATGTTCTAGAATGCAATTAAAGTTAATTATTTTTAGAAATGGACTTAAAGCCTAAATTGGCACATGGAATGCTTCCAGCTTAATTTTATCTTCGGGAGTGACCTTTTCATGCCAAGTGCAAGTCAAGACTTCTTATCTGACATTTAAAAAAACATTCTTTAGCAATCAACCCTATTTATTCTGTTTTCCAATTTTGTTATGAGGCTTCAAAGTAAACTGCTTAGATACAGTAACCAATAAACAGTACACATTTTATAGGTTTGTTGGGTTTTTTTTTTTTAGGGTAGTACAATCTGAAATGGAGAAAAACCGTTGTAAATATAAATTGGTAACAGATGATATTCCGTCTCTCTCAAGCAAGCATTTTTACCTTAGGGAGTGATGGGGTTCAGCAACCTATTGAGTGTGGGTGAGGTCAGTTTTCTGTAATGCTTTCTCTGTGGGCGAGGTCAGTTTTCTGTAGTGCTTTCTGTTACAGTGAGACAACTGTATGCAAGAGTAGTAGTTTTTAACTTTTTTTTAATGTCCCTTAGACATCTTTAGTTTGGAGTTTGGTAGAAGTCCAGTAAGCTCTACAGCTGTAGGTCTTCCGAGTATGTAACATTCTAATTAGTAATCTTTCTTCCTAGGTGCAGAAACTAAAGAGAAAAACTCAGAAATTGAAGCAAGGGGCAGCTCATGTCAAACTAAAGTGTGGTGACCAAAAGGAAGCAAAAAAGATTGCAGTCACTGTAAGGGAAAGTATGTCTAAGTCTTGTCCTGGGCAGCAAAGCAGAAGCTCTCTTCAGCTGCTAAAAAATGTGCAGAAACTTCAGTCAACGCTGAAAAAAGATGATATCATGTGGGAACAACAGTTCTGAAGTTTACTGTGTTAGAAGTTTTTTAAGTTGTCTGACAGCTAGCAAATTTTTAATTTCACAAAATACCTTTTAAAAATAAAATAAATATAGCATTTTACATTCTAAACTGTCTACTCACTACTAGGTCAGTTTGTTCACCTCAGAATTAACTTCCATGTCCGGTAGCTATAATTCAACTACACTGACTTGTAATAAAGTGTTTTCATGGATTAATGAAATGCTTACTTGTTAACCTGTCAAATAATTTTTTATACCTTTTTTACACTTAAAATAGTATGCGATCTTTGTTGTCCTGTTGCCCCTGCTGCCAAGGAGATACTTACAGGTTGCTTTTCCAGAATGACTTGGGCTAGTGCTTCTGTTCAAATAAAAACAGTGGGTTTCCTTTTCTCTAATAACTGAAGATTCAGATCATTGCAACTGAGGCAGAAGAAGAGGTACTGTCTGTAATTTATCTACTTTTTCATTATTATTATTATTATTATTGTTATTATTACTCTATGAGCTTTATTGACAGTCTTAATATTAGGGACAGCTAGGGATTGGAAGCACAACCCATGACTTGGTTAAACCACAACAATGTGAGAGTGTTCTTGATAGTGCAGGGAAGGGGCCAGAGACAAAAGCTTGGATGCTTGTCTTCTCATCAACAGAACCAGCTTCTACCACAGTATAAAATAATTGAGCTGTTATAGAGGAGACCTTGGACTGTGTACCAGTACATGTTGTGGAATCCGTGTGCTCATAAAATGCAAGATGGGTCTTTACACTAATGCTGAGTCTACTCTTTTCCATCCCCCACTACGTACCTATGGTAAAAAAAGATGTAACAGTGACTTTGAACCAACACTGGTTATTTAGTTGCAATAAATTCTTGTCTTGAGGTTACTAACTGATACTGATTCTCCTGGGTGTTTGCATATGTCAGGAAAAAATAGCTTCCTAGGGAGGTGTCAGTGAAGTTCTGCTGTAGATCTCTGGTATAAAGAGAATGTAGTGGTCTTCTCAAGCCCCTGTGCAGATATGGATAAAAATTGGAGGCATGCTCTGTTGTCAAGGGTTTTGAATAAAGGCTAGTAACAATGTATGGTCCTAATGGAAATCTGGGTCTTTGGATCATTAAGTTTTGCTCTGGCACTCTTCAAGAGAAAGGATTAGGAAAATTTTCAGACAATTAATTTAAATTTAGAATAAACTGTTACAATCTTTGACAGGAGTTGCATGTGTGAGCTTTTGGGGGTGAGAGGGAGAGTTTATATGTACTAAACATCTTTGTCAGGACTATGGAAGATCAGGTTGTTCAACTGATATTCGGGCATGGGTTTCCTACACTCTCTTAAATTATATAGACATCCTTCTTACTTATGGATTATCTCTGGCTTAGAAAAGCATGTTGCATGCTTAAAAACACTTAAACACAGTTCTCAACATGGTATTTTCCTGGTATAGATAGTGTTTCTGAAGGAGGTTTATGCACTTCTGGACACTGGAATCACTGATACTGGAGACGAAAGAAAAGTAAGCATTTCTGCTATTAACATTTTCAGATTGTAGGTATTCTGCTGCCATGAGATAAGCCTTTGCCATTCCTAGGGGTAGTTAAATAATCTCTAAAGCTCTGTACCCGTGTGTGAGAGAGCAAGTGAGAAGGGCCTCACCAAGCCCTACGGAGCCTAAAGCATTATATTTCATCCGGAGGTCCAGCCCTAGACAAAAACCATCAGGCATTGGACCGGGAGAGAAAAATTGCCAGCAATTTGCCCCAAATGCATAAAAATGGGTAGAAAGGCTTTGCATGGTGGCAGCCATGGGAGTGAGAGCAAGAAGTGCCCTGGGCTTGCAGCTGGGGGCTGAGAGGCCATCACAGCTCCTATAGCTTGGGGTTGCTATAGGGACAGCTGGGCCTGTCCAGGCAGGGAGCCGGCACATCAATCACCCGCTCCCTCTGTGCCTTGACCTGGTATTTTTGTTGACTCCCCCCGGGGAGAGGGGGCCATTTTGGTGCTGGAGCTGGAGAAGGAGGGCCCCGGCTCCTCTCTCGGACAAGGGGCTGCAGTGGAGGACAGCAGCTTTGGGTCGGTCAACCAGGTAGTGGATGGGGCAGTGCTTAAACGATGGAAGCATTGAACAGTCAGTCTTCAAAATGTGCGTGCCGACAGGGGCTGTCCAGTCCCAGAACAAAACTGCTCTCTTTGCCTTTCTGTGGGGCGAGTGGCTGGGGGGGAGGGGGAAA